CACCAGACAACACACGAACCGAAGAGGAGAAAGATGAACCAACGGAAACTTTTTGTGTACGATTAGAAAGATAAGAAGAGAGCCATTTAAGAAGAACTCCTGATATTCCTGCTTTAGATAGCTTTTGAAGAAGAATATGATGTGGCACGGTGTCGAAAGCCTTTTCAAAATCAAACGAAATGCAGATTAACTTGTTCTTTTTTTCTAAGGACTGATAAACCTTATGTGTAAGAAGAAGAAGAGCGTCTACAGTTGATGTATTAGGACGAAATCCAAATTGAGTTGGATTAAAAAAGTTTGTTGACGTGAGAAACGAAGATAAATGGCTGTAAACAAGTTTCTCAAACACTTTGCTAACGTTTGATAGTAATGAAATGGGACGATAGTTCTTGACGAGTAATTTGCTATCTTTCTTATGCACTGCACATTCAATAGCTTCTTTCCATGCAGACAGAAAAATTCCAGTTGAGAGAGAAAGAGAGAAAATGTGGTGTAACTGCGGCGAGATGACATCTGCAGAAAGTTTTAAAATTTTGACTGGAATTTGATCAGTACCTAAAGAACTCTTATTTTTTAAATTATGTATAGCTTTAAGAACATCAGATACATCAATATAAATTTCTGATAAAGTTTGAGTAGATGATAGATGAGAGCTGCTAATCGTTGATGATGAAGCAGAAGGTTGTGAGAAACTGGTTTGAAAGAAAGAAGATAGTAACTCTGCTTTAGAAGAATCATCACTGGCTGTTGAAGAGTTGAACTGCTTAGAAGCTGGCAAGTCTTCGACAGGGTCACGATACTTTTTTATTGCAGACCAAAATCGCTTACCATTCGAGAAATCTTTTATGATAAGTTTATATCAATAGGAACAAATTTCATAGGGACACATTGTTGAACAATTGACATAAAATGATCATAATCATGATCATAATTTTCTCTATTTTTCATTTTAAAGATTTAGTTCACCGATTAGTGCAATGAAAGTTAGCGTAGAAATGTGAATGAATGGGTAAAAAAATAAATTTAGCTGTAAAAGCAGGAAAGAATGTAGAAGAAATGATCATAGAGTAATTACTATTTCGATTGTACAGCACTCTCTAACAGATTATCATCTTCGTTAGCGAAAGCACTGACGGTTTTGTCTTTTGATATTCATTTTGAATAAGAAACTCGAACAACATAGCGCAGGACGAAGTCAGAACTAGGTATGCACCGGTATCGGTATACTGAATACCGAAAATACCGACCTTTTTAGATCTGGACGTTTTTAGATTTTTCCATCTGAAATGAGATAGTTTAGCGTTCTGGACACCCAGAAAGAATCAGAGAAGCAAAACAAGAGCTTTGTTTGCTTTCTAAAGCCAAAGTTTTCCTTTATTTTCTATCTACATATGCTCAGAATACACGGCTAAGGGTTGTTTGTATTCTGGCTGTCCATGACGTTAAACTATCTCATTTCAGATGGAAAAATTTAAAAAAGTCGGTATTTTCGGTATGGATACCGGTACCGGTGCATACCTAGTCCGAACACACGAAGAGTCGAACAAACACGTCAGTGACAGCTGGTATACGAGCACATTTGCGAGACAGCAACTCTCAAAAATAATTTCGAATATTCTTATTCACAGCTTTTGGTGCTTCTTCTCATAATTTCTTAAGCCCATTTTCATTAGTCGATTAATTCAGCGAAACGGAATATTATACCATGGACAGGCATAGATTATTCAGTAGATTTTAGTTCTTTGGAAATGAAGAATGCTAATATCGACAAATTATTTAGGACTTAAATATTTCTCAAGTGAAATGCATTTTACAGAATGAAAATTTATTTTGTGTTTTTCTCAAAACTAATTTTTAGCTTCAAGGCTTTCGCCGAGTGAAAGAATTTCTGGTATGATCAGGAGTTGACGGGGGCCCGACGTTTGAATAATGTCTTTGTTTTGTTTTTAGAAAAATAAGGATTTTTGGAAATCCCTGTAAGAGTTTTTAAGATTTGAACGGTCTACAGTGCACTAAAAATAATCGGGCTATCTCAACTCCTAGCCATTGGTGCTTACTGCAAAACAAAACTAATCTGAACTCTTTATCATCTATTTAGAACGAAGTTTCTTACACAACCCAAAAACGTTGCATTCTGACCTTGTTGCGGCCACACATTGCGACTCGAAATAGATGAAGTCAGTGTCAAAATGCTGTTTTCACTCTTTCTAAACTCGCTGGTGTTGTTTAAATGTACGAATGTTCAGGATTCTTCAATGCCCATCTAAAACCGAACGTCCTTTATCAATGATTCTATACGAAAAAAACGATTTACGCAATGCATTAAAAAATTTTGAAAAAACTGAACAATTAATTAAATCATATTACACAAATAAGAAGAAATATTTATTTACAACATCAACAAATAAACAAATAGTAAATGAAAATTTTGAAGAAACAATAAACGAAGTTTGTTTAAAAATTTTAACTATGAATAATAATTGTCTATCTCGTACGAAAATTTTGCATAATGTTGGATGTCGGTATCAAAAACGTGGAAATTTAAATTTAGTATTACAAAGTTATAATTGAGCACTTGAACTTTATCTTAGTAATGGTATTGATCATCCTCGAGATATATCAGCAATTCATAATAATATGGGTGGAGTATATTTTGAACAACGTAAATAAAATAGTTTTGAACAAGCAATTGAAGAAGGTCTTAAACTATTACCAGATAATCAATCATGGACAGAAGATTATAAAAATAATGTCAAAATTGTTTCTGAATATATTAAACCTAAATTGTAAATACTTATTTGATAACAAAAAAATGAAAAATAAAAAGATAAATTCTAGATTTAGCTGTACACTCCAGAATCAGAATTATACTTGTTTCGTGTCATATTCAACAGTAAATTACAACTGGAAAATTGCTGATGGACATCAGAAAATTCAATAAATAGTCGGTGATTTGTAGCACAATTTGAATAAACATGAGGAAAATATTATTGCTGATATTAACAATAGAACATTGATTTATGCCACACATTATTAAACAGATCTATATTTCTTCTCTTTATATATTTCTTGGCTAATTATTATCTCTTTATTCTTAAGCAACTAACAGTTATATATCATCCATAAGATACTAACATTGTTCGATTAAGTGGATAATTCAAATCGTCGTTGAATTATCCATTCAAATCTTCATCCAACAAGTTCTAACTGATGAGTTTCTATTCTATGTCTGTGGCGAATAAAAACAAAACTGCTCAAAGTTGACGAGAAAGTAGAAATATTTAAAAGTGCATTTAAAATTACCTATAAAACAAACAATTTGTTTAAGAACGACCATTGTTACATGAAGGCTTGAGGAAATGGTACGTTTGCGCATCTCAGCCAATCAAATTTGATCTACAGTTCTAACTTTATTGGATTAAGTTTTTCTCGTATTACAACTAAAAGAGAGAATGTTACATCGCTAACGCAAATGAGCGTTTTTTTTAAATGCAATCGAGAAACATTAAAATTTTCACCATTCCAAACGCTTTAGAAAATAGAGTTTGGAGCTGACCGGTTATGTCATACAATAAAAAACATTTCCTTAAGAACACTTCTTTCATTTCGGAAAATCTCCTCGCCCCTAACCTTTACACCTTATTTGTTCACGTGACTAAAGTTCGAACTAATTTGTAAAGAAAAATTATTCACAGGAATTCTGTAAGAATCTTTTGCATATGTTTTTGTTTCTTTCCACTGTATATTCTGTTCTGTGTTAGAGCATATATCTAGCACGAGACTGTCCATATTTGATAGGAGCTCTCTGGAAATTGATGAGTACTAATTAATCTTATTGAACTTTAACAAGATTTTTACATTAATAGATAGAGAAATGTCCGGTCCATCCACCTGCGAATGTCGTTTTTTCTCGAGTAAAAATGCTTCAAGTACGCTTAAAATACTGTGGAAATTAAAGAGGCTGCCCAAAATTACCCCGAGTTAGTCTAATTGGCCAACCGACATAAACCCATGTAATTTATTGATTTTATTTCTTAATGTATCTCCATTGTAAATTTTACTTTTCTGCACATAAAAGTTTTTCCAGAAAAGGCCAGTGAGCGTACAAGATATTTAAAAACATCGTAAATAGAAAGCATGATATACGTAGAATCATGTGGATTCCGTATGGAAAAAAAAGATGCCGCTAAGTGTAGCATTCGTTTTGGATTGGTACGAGGCGTATTTTAATTACCGCGACCCCGTACTTTTCCTCGTTCTTAATTTCTTGGATACGATGGGCAACGAGACAATAGTTCGCACACAAAGCTTCCGATCTGACTTTAAAATCTATTCAAAATGTCTGCAAGTATCTTTGCGTTTGTCTTAAAACCTAACTTTTTTTATGGTTATTTTCTGATGCCAATTTAAGTTGTTTGTTTCGTACTAGTCAGCAGGTATATGAAAATCTCAGCTCTGTATATACGATAAACTCTATTTCGAAGAAGCGCAGCTAAGACGTTACGGTTTTGTGTAACGATAAAAAGAAGAGATTTCCAGAACATTTATTAGTGAAGAGAATGTGCTTGTAAAAGTTTTGTCGCTGTTCTGTGCTCACTTATGACCTCAACTGTCTGACATACCATGCCGGATGTGGGAATCCTCCATTACATCCGAAACCACATAATCGACATCAATCAACTAAATCTTCGACTGATATATGAGCGTTTGTTGCACCTCTCGACGCTAAGCACACACGGTCAAACATTGCCTCTACAGAAAAGACCTCTTTAGCTATGTTCACCTTCCTTCCTTTCTTTCTTACCAACAGCTCCAAACGCCAAGCAACGGCCACAATTGTCTTGATCTCGAACTTCTTTTATTGTCGGACAATCAGGCATTGTTCTCCTGAATACACAACACAGCACATTTTAGTTTGAAGCAGAGAAATCAACAATAAACTCATGCACTGTCAATCCGATTTTTTTCAAATCCCAAAAGTACCTCGGACAGGATTTCGCAGGAATTAAGCAAACGTCAATCGAAAACTAACCATTTAGAGAACATGACGACACGTTTTCTATAAAGTTTTTATTTTTCGTATTTGTCGGCTAAATTTCCGTCGTGCTCAATGTACTTCAAATTTTCTTCTACCAGTGAGTCATTAGATAGAGAAATTTTCTCCGATATGGAATATAACACAATATATAAATATCCGCTTTAATTAGTTTTTGAATTTATTAAACTTTTCATTATCATCTTGAATTGAATTTTCATTTGGCTTCGAAGAAAACAGACTCATCGATGTTTGATTTTTGAGGTAACCTCGTACATCTTTTGATAATCTGGCGAACAATGAATGATTTGTCGCATGAACACCATGCATTTTATTACCGAACTCTGATGACCACGATTCATGTCCAACAGTGTTCTGACAAAATATGTAAATAAAAACAATTTGGTGTAGTTCATAGACAATTTGAACAATGAGTTTTCCGAGTTGCCCGGAAACAATAGAAAAACACCTTTTTATTTAAGATAGATGAAACGTACTTTCTGTATTCGGTAATATTATCAAATACTCTTGAACACTTAACTTTCTCGTGTAGTTGAGCTCGTGTTTTCTAGTAATCTTCAGATTGCTTTACGTTGGAATCAAGCCAAACAACTGTAAAATCTTCATAATTTCTGTGGTGAATAAGTCTGATGATGGTGCTTCTCTAGGCTGCATCTTGAACTCACTCAACATCTCATTATTTGATAATTGACTAGTTCTTCGCTGCCTCATTTCATCAGTTGTATTCTGAACGATAGAAAAAAAACCTTCTTTAACTTAGTACATTACGTCTAATTTAGAGGTGAAATTAAAATTTGAACTATTACTGATAGTTAAGAAAGAAAGGACTTTTCTCCGCTAATGAGCGTTGAGCTTTCACTAAATATAATTGTAATGGAGAAAGCTGTTTCATTTGATATACTACTAGCTAAAATTGCTATACAACGTTTTGCAATACTATTCATTCCTCACAAGATCAATACCGTTCATGTAAAATAAAGTTCACGTTCACCGGAACATTCGCGTTCACGTTCAAAAAAAACGTCATGTTTAGCGTTCACGTTCAAAGAGAACGCTGAAATGGTACGCTGAACTTTTG